TCCCCTGGCACTTGGCCGCTTTCTGCAGCGGCATTAAAATTCACTGAAATACAAAATGAAAATTTCTATACTGCGGGCCTTGCGTTAGTTTTTTAGCGGCAAATGAATGAGGGAATGGGCAAGTGAACGAATGAATGAATGAATGCATGAATTCCAAAGCAATTTTGATGTTGACATTGAGTAATGTTGGCATTGGGCCCATACGCCGAGCCCCGGGTTCGGATTTTGGGCACAACTTGCGTTGGGTGGTTGTTTGGTTTGGCATTTTCATATCATTTTCGAATATTACATGCGGATTAGCATTTCCTCATTGGGATTGCAGCAAAAACGTGCCATCGTTATGCCTGGAGTTCGGGGCGTTGGGTGGGTGGCGCACAAAGGGGGTGGCTTGCATGCGGGCGGCTGGGCGGACTAATGGCTGGGTTTGAGTTCAGACAATGGGAGGTGTTTCATTGTATCTAAACTTAAAGCTGATAGCTCATTGAAGGGTTACGAAATTAACAAAAAAGATAAATAGAGCACGAAGGTAGAAATTCATCCATATCCATAAGAAAGACAAAGACAATAAATTGACGAAATCAACTAAATTAGAACACATTCAAGAAGAGCTCTAAATAACCCCAAAATTCCATAGAAAAGATTAAAGTGCATTTGGTATTAAATTGAATCTTAATTTTTTAGTTTTCTACTATAATCGCTTTTTATTATTAATGCTTTATTCAAATCTTAGCTTGCGCACCTTTTGTCCACATCTTAATGAAATTAAATCCTTAAAGCTTTGAAAAAGAGAGCATAATTGCATTGGTTCTTATTATTTCACTTCACTTTTCTTATTTATTTCTTACAAAAATATCTTTATATTCAATTTGTTGAACTTTACAACTTGTAGCTCAATTATTAGACTATTTCTTTTTTGCTCAGTTGCTAGTTTTTAGTATTTTTTCTCATATCTCTAAAAATGGAACACCCTCCTTTTTCTCACAGTTTACCGCGTGAATCCTGCCTTAAAGTGTGCCTAGCCCAAACCTTTTTCTTAACAAGTTGGTGCAACTTTTTGAGAATTCTCAAATCAACAGCCTTTCCAAACTCAGAAACGAACAACTTTTCAATTTGCTTTTCACGCTTGCAATTTTACAAGCTGCTACATGATTGGGGTCTTGTCCGGACATAGTTCCTACCAGCCCCCCTCCACACACTGCCGACCCTCGCCAACTGGGCGCTGTCTGCCCATAACAAGCTGCCAAATTTCACACTCAGCTCTGCTGCGGGAAAATTCAATAGCCGAGCACCTAACTAAAACTTTCAGCGCGTGGCGCTTGAAATGTGTCAGCGATATGGAGAATTCTTGAGCTGCAATCGAACTAACCCCCGAGGAGCTCCAGCACAGCAGCAGCAGCAGCTACCCTTTTGTCAGGCATAATCTAATTTACTGAACATTTTATTAACTGACAGTTTATTAAAAACTCATCCAAACTGGGCCCGACTTGGATTCAGATTTGGTTCTCGGCTTTTGGGGTTGCCTCCTTATCAAGATCCACGACACATGTCAGCGCTGCGTTTGCTGATTACCGTCGCTAGATAAATATTAAGCAACTATATAACAACTTCCCCATGCCCCTTGCCCCTTGCCCCTTATTCCCTCCATTCGTTTGGTTTGTCTCCATGGAACGACGTCATCGCCTGTTTGTTTCGGGAGCGCCAAAACAGCTTCCTTTCTGTAATTGACTCAACGCCAAGGGCCAGACCTCCACGTCGATACCGCCCCGCCCCATTCTCCGCCCCCTCGGATGCCCTGCAGCACTGTAATGAAATTTTTTGGCTTCGAGTGCTATAAATGTATGCAGGGCCAACTCTAGGATTGTTAGTGTTGTTGTTTGGCACGTGGCATGCGGCAGTTGCTACGTGCAGGTGGTGGTGGGGGGGAGAGGGGGACAATGGGAGGAAATGGCATGAAATTGATTTAGATTTTAGTTATGTTGTTATTCAACTTGCCTCCCGCGGCTTGTATGTAATTATTTTTGAACAGGGAGTTGTGAAATAATTAAAAATGATTAGCTCATAAACATTTCCTGCCGTCGTTAAACTCTTGACAAGGACCCAAGGCGTATTTATTTTGGCTGAAGCTTGACAAAAAGCAAGCAATATTTATTGAAAGTTTCAGCTGCTTTTAAACCGAATGCCACGAAAACATAAGAATAATAAGAAGAAAAGACTTTAATACAGTTTAAAATTCTTAAAACTTTGTCTGAGACTAAGTCCTTTTTGTGTTTCCTTCAGCTACGCTTCAAAGTGATAAATTTCAATTTTTTATGGCATCAAGAAAAATCAAAACAATTTCATGTGAAAAATTATGTTTTTGAAAAATGTATCAAAGCAACCGCACACACAGAGAGAGAGAGAGAGTGAAGAACGTGGGGCTAGCGCATGTCAAAAATTTTGAAGAACTTCTCAGATGGAGGAGGCTGCATCAAGTGGACGACCAGCATGACGATAATGTGGCTACGCTGATGAGGATGCCGTGCGTGCTGGCTGGAAGAAGATGACGAAGCTGCTGGATCTGTGCCTGTGCCAGTGTCTGGGTTTGGGTCCGCGTCTGGGTTTTATGGTAATGCCAAGTACGTGAAAGATGCATCAAACTTGGCTGCTCATTCCTAGAATAGATGCCAGCAGCAGCAGCAGCAGCGGTGGGGGATATTTGTGCGCCAGACAAGATTTATCGAAATAAGTCGAAGACACTTGTTTACTGCCCGGCACAATGCGCTCTTATACTTACATTTGCCAAGCCACCAAATGTATCTGCCGCCAGAGCAATGCAGCCGAATAAAGTCGAATATAAAATTTACAACAAGCTTATGGCCATCATATAAATTACGTTGTTAAAGATACTTTTCTCTGCCAGTTGCTAAGTGAGCTTGGCTGCAGCGAGACTTCTGCCAATTTGACATATATTTTATTAGTTTTATATTATGGTCTAAGTTCTACTTAATATAGAGTAGCACATATGTAGCTGAAACTAAAGATTAAGTTCTCGAAATAAGGTATATTACTTTATAAATCTGTTGTGCACGAATTCAAGACGATTTGTTTAAATGACTTACAGACCAGACTGGGTGCTGAAACAAGCCCCAAATCTAGTTAACAAATTAGAAACCACAAAGCCAACAACAACAACAACAACAATACAAACCGCAGCTACATCAACTGCAAAAGCAACAACAACATTAGCTTGAAAATCAGTTTTCGCCTCTGCCAAGCCACAAAGCCACACCCCGAAAAAAAAAACAACGCCCTTAAATGACAGGCATGGAGCTGGGGCTGAGCTGTGGGAGAGCTACTAAAGCCTTTTGTCTGGAGCCTGAGACTGGGACTGGGACTGAGACTGAGACTGGGACTGGGTCTGGGGCACATTGGAGTGTGTTGCACTTTTGAATTTTCAACTTTGTCTGCTGCGCATAAAATTTACTTGCTCCAAATTCAATTCAAAAGCGATTATCACCACTTAGCTGTCAACGACACGACGCCAACTACAAGAGAGCCCAGCTGGGCGCAGTCCTCAGTGTCCGAGTCCGAATCCGAGTCCGAGTCCAATGCCAATAACCAGCGATGCCACTTGAACACATCACAAAGGGCATGGCCGTCTGTGTGTGTATCTGTAAGTATGTATCTACAACTATAACAGTTGGTTGGCTCAAATAAAATTTACACTTACAAGTGGCGCTAAAGTCAAGTGCAATGCTTCCCCATCCCCCCCGCCCCTCTCTGACCACATAAAGCAGCTGCCGTCAGCTGGTCAGACATGGTCAAAGTGTGGCCCGAAGACGGGCGCGATTGCGGGGGGAGACGCTGCGGCAAATGTGGTCAAGAGTTTTATAAAGTTCATCATCCATGGCCTGATCCTAAGCATTTTTCAAGTGCAGCGCCAAAAGATTTTCAATTTCAAATACGAGCATGTATTATATAAGCAGTTGGCCGGCAGTCGCAGCCTGTGAAAACCATTTCCACACCTTCCCGCAACGACTTTAAGCCAGTTCATTATGCTCTACACAATGGGCACAATAGCTATGCCATCAAGTTGGCAGTACTCCAATCATTTAATGTGATTTTGCAGTAAAAGATATAAGATATCACTAAAGTAAGCTTACGTGCGGCTAGACTTTGAGATATTTGATCAATTTAAGACATATGTTTTACGATATTTATAATCAAAACTTAAGTGCGTTCAGATTCTGAGCTATTGAGATATATAAATATATGTATATATATTATATTAAATTCTCTAAAACTATAATCACAATAATCTTAAGTGAAAAACAGGACATCAATTTTGGATATCTCATAGAATATAATTCTCCATCTCTCTCTCTTCCAAGCATCCTCGAGCATTATAAGATTTTATAAAATGTATGATATTCCCAATGTAAGCTTATGTTCAATTAACATTTAAGATGTTGACAGACTTTGAAAAATATATTTTTGAATATTAGTTTAAAAATTACAATAATTTTGTTAAATAAATTCTCTGAAGAGCTGAGAATCTCTTCAATCATCAAATTTTGGGATATCTCATAGAATATATTTCAACCTCCCAACTTTTTTAAATAAATTTTCTCAAGATCTGTAATTATAATCTCTTCAATCTTAAGTGAAAATTAGGGCATTAAATATTTGTATATATCATGAAATATGTTTCTTTCTCTCTCCCTCCCGCCCACTCTCTCTCTCTCTCTCTCTCTCTTCCACTTATCTTGCTGCACATTCATAAAGTACATAATCATGTTCATGACGTGAGCTGAAGTGGACTCGGACTTGGGTTTGGGCTTGAGTTTGAGTTTGAGTTTGGGCTGGACTCTGCTGGCTCTGTGGTGTCTGTGCTATAAAAGCTTAAACCGTTACAAGTATTTAAAAAGCACTTCAGAGTGAGGACTCGCATAAATGTATTAAAAGCATATTGAAATGTATTGCATTGTTTATTTTGATTATTTCAACAGCAAATGGTATGTTATGCCTGTTACGTAATCTTCATTTTATTTAAGATGTTTTCTTTATGTAATGAAAATGGAAGCAGAATTAGCCGAGTCTGGGCGTCATTTTGGCCAACTTGGCAATGTTGTCACAGTTGAGTTTCTGGTTAGGATCTAGTTGGAAATATAATTAATCAGAATCTTTGCAACAAACCCTTTTCCCTGTGGACTTACTTTCGCAGGAAATGCGCAGAATATCACACTGTGATTGATCTCTCCAGGTCCAGCGATCCTTGGTCTTCGAGCGACACAGAGAATTTAAATCAATTGTGTTGCCAACATTTCTTGAACAGGCCACACAGCTTTTATAGATCCTAGTACAATTAGGCCTCCGGGCACTACCGATGCCCACGCAGCAGAGCACCAAGAGAAGGACGAGTACGCTTTGGATATGCATTTTGCGATCTATAGCCGATTACTGATACTCAATTGGATTTTAAAGCTGGCTTATATAGGCAGAAAATACTATTGAAGCGGGTCAATCAGAAACACCTGTTCTTTAGATATATCGCACAATGCCACAATATATCTGTTTCCCCAAAGTTTTTCAATTCAATTAATTAATCAAATAACTATATTATGCGCCCAAAAGAAGACACAATGTCTCATAGTTCAACAACAAAGCATCTGACTGACAGCTGGGCCGCGAACAAAGCCCAAAAATGACTTCCTTAAGTTGGGCTTTCACTATAAATACCTTGTACCTTAGCACAGATAAGCTAGAATACAACTCGAATTGCATTGCTTAGTAAACATGTCGAAATTTGTGCTGTTGTTGGGTAAGATAGCCACAGTTCAGGCCTAAGGCTCAAGGATAATGCCGAAAGTGTTTTCTCCTTTATAGCTATTTGTTGCATGTGCCTGCTGCAAGTTCAGGCGAATCGGAAGACATGCGACGAGGTGTCTGCAATCTGTGTGAAAGCCCAGCGTTTAACAGGACCCGAGGATGATGTGACAAACTTGTACAATTTCCAATGCCGCAGACAAATTCGCAATTGGAAAAATATTACACGCTGCCAGCTGGAGCGTGCCGCCTGCCTATGTAAGTCCAAGCAATTGATAAGTATCTAGCACGTCTTAAGTAAAATATTCTTTAAATTGACTATTTCCAGTAACTTTGGTCAAATGCGATCGTCTGAGCTGTGTTAATGTGGTCAATGCACTCCGGGGATAAATTACCAAATGCAATGAGACAAGTAGCACACATATGATATTTCATATTTTGATATCAAACAAAAATGATTGACACAGAGGATTCTTTTGCATATTAATTGATACAATAAATCAATACAAGCCTAATCTTGTGGCCCTAACTAAATCGTAAAAGTCTTAAATGATAAACAGGTTTGAGCCTTAATTCGTCCACTTATCAATAGCTGGCATTTTATTTTTAGATGCTCATGGGCCGAGTTCCCACTTTGTTGACTCAAATTATTATAATCAAATTGTGGAATTTTCCCGCGCATTTATAACCCACCAATTCGCATGCAATATCCAACACAGATGCTTATCAGTCAAGTGCCTCGCCACAAAGATCTGTTAAGCTCGCTCAAGAAACCCACCACTCTTTTTTGCATACGCTCTCTCACAAGTGCCTCTCTGCTCTATTCTGCTCCCCATATGCCCGCAGCTCAGCTTACATATGTATTTTGAATGTATTTTCACCATAGCTCAGCTGATTTCGCGCTCTGTATATCGCAGTGCAAACAATGGGCTCAGCACTCTCGCATGTAAACAAAACTCGGGGCGATGCGGAGAGGAGACCAGACGCCGGGCACACGTACAAAATGCCTGTCTCTCTGTCTATCCGTCTGTCTGTTTGTCTGTCGATCTATCTGCTAAAATACACATGGTGATAATAAAGATTGCGGCCGAAAACAAAATTTTTGTGCGGCGTTAGTCGCAGTCATCATTTACCTGGCTGCTCTTGTTGTTGTTACTGTTGTTGTTGTTTTTGTTATTGTTAATTTTTCACGCACACAAACAAACCAAACAACGTAGGAGCCAGCGTTTCGGCGTAGCCAACGCTCTAGATAATAAGCCAGTTGCACGTCCAGTCGCAGTCGCCTAGTTGACAGTTGTCGTGAGTGTCGCGTGAGCAACACAAAAGCCAGCCGCATTACGTTATTGTTCCTGCAGCGAATTTATTAAAAATTGCAATATTGATCGACTGACCAACTGATTGATTAAGTGATTCGTGTGTGTTAACGAGTGAGTGCAGCCGTTGCCCATGCTGCCAAAATGTCAAATATCACATATTTGCGTCTGACCAAATTGCAACCGCTTCTCCATATGGTGGGCAGCAGTTACGCAGCGCTGGCGAATGCCGACGATGTATATTCACCAGACTTGCAAAGCATTCACAATAGCAACTACAACAACAATATCAGTGAGAGCATTGGCAACAACAACAGCAATCACAGTAGCGACAACATTTTGGTTCTCTACGAGGAAGAGAATTACAGTTACCGTTCCACATCGACCATTGTGCTAATGGTCGCCGCCTGGATACTGCTGATATTGGGCTTTGTCTTTTGCTGTTGTGCCGAGTGCTTTGGCGTTAGCGTCTGGCGGGGCAAGAAGCGGGCCAGCATCACGTTGAGTGGCGCTGAGAGCGGCGCTGCCAGCGCCACTGGCAACGAGCTGAGCGACCTCCATGCAGGTGAGTTTCTTAGCTTACGAGCTTTAGTGGGGAAAATGCCAAAGAAGCGGCATACTTTTTGGCGCAGCTGAGAAATGACAGCTAAAGCAACAGCAACAACAACGTGAATGAAACTTTACCTTATTTGTTTCGCGTTGGCCAGAGCAGCGCACACCGCCCCCCCCCCCCCCCCCCCCCCCACCCGCTCTGCAGCATAGTTTGAAAATACAAAATGGCAACAATAACCGAAAAATGCAAGCGCAACAGAGCCACAAGGAATTAGAAATACCCTCGCTAAAGCGCGTAAAGGGGATATTTGGTATTTCAACTATTAATCTAACATATAAATGAATGAAGAAAAAATTGGTTAAGTTGTTTTTAAAACTAATGAAAACTCTTTCCCATTTTTAAAAATGATTATATTTAATGCATTTTTGAGCTAAAGGCAACTTTAACGCCTTTTAGATATGATTCAATGAGTATCGAAGTTAAAATAGCTGCCTTTGTGTCTAGAAAACCTACGCCTTTTGTTATTAGCAGAGCATATTTGGTAGAAAGTTTTTGCTTAAGAGTCATCAGTTTGCATTGAACGAGTCGAAACTTTATGCCCCATTGGGAAATGCTTGCGCATATCCGAGTGCTAAACAAAGTGAATTTCTCTGGGGGTTAGGGTATGGAAACGCATTTGTATGAGCTGTCAATGCGCTCAACTGCCACTGCTGAACTACTTTCAATACAGCAGAGGCAACAACGAGTTCCTGAAGCGCCAGTGTTACCCATGCAAAAATGTATTTTCCGTTTTGAGTGCAGTGCATGCAGTTTTTTTCTTTCTCTGTGTGGGGTAGGCGGCAATAGGCGCCTGCCTCATCGATAACATAAAATATTTAGCTATTTTTCGTATCTCGTTTCGTTTTGTTATTGGCAAATTTGGCATGCGTTTTGGCCAAAATTGGCTTTTGGCCAAGTAAACGAGCGGCAGATACACACGTACGACTACAGACACAAATTGCCCATATTTCTGGCATCATTTTGAGTTTATGAGCCTCTGACTCTGCCTATCATAGCAACCCCCTCCCGTGCAGTTATCGCTTGCAACTTGTGCATTGTGCAATGCCTCCTAAATTCTCAAAGATATTGGGTTTCATTAAGCCAATATTTGTATATGTAGAGGAGGCCGAACTGGCCAGCATCAGCAGTCAGTGGGTCATTAGATGTTCGTATCGATAGCACGAAATTTGTTTGCAAATTTATTTGGCCCACAAATAGTATGAGTATTGGGCTGCTGGGATTTCTGGATTGTGGCCTTTCAGTTGCTGCATTCCTTGGTGCAATGTTGCAAATTGCAAGTTTGTCATTTTTTTGAACTAATCGATAAGTTTTCATTAGAATGTAAATTTCTAACAAGTTATTCAAACAAAAACTTAGAAGACTTAAGTGTTTATAAGTCTGCTAGAAGTAAATAAAATGTGAGCAGATTCAAGGAATTCGTTCACAATTTCAATTGGAATGAATAGAGTGCATCGCTTTATTTTAAGCTTAGGTAGAAGTACTAATCACGGTATTTAAAAGACTTTATGAAAGCTTGAAGTCGAAATATATACATTTATCAAAAAGTATTTTCTTCTGAACATGGTGCAACCAAATATGCACTAAGCGATAACAATAACCGATGAAAAATAAATAGATTTAATTAAGCTATGATAAAAAATGAGATAAAATAGAATCAAGATCTAAACCGTATTAGCAGGACATTATACAAGCTTGTAGTCGATGAAGGCACATTAATCGATAACTACTTGTATTCTAAATATAGTACAATCAAGTATACACTTTATCGATAACAGTAATCAATGACACCTTTATCGATAACAGAATAATTTAAATGAAAAGAGTGGCTCAATTTATTTTGAACTTAGGTAAAATATGAAATAAAACCCACCCAAAAGTACCAATTACGGTAGTATACATAATACAAGCTTAAATTCGAGTATTATTTAACGATAACAAAATCGATGCCACTCATATCGATAACACATCAAGAGCCGCAGCAATGGCAGCACTGCTTTCAAATCAGGAAACATTGTTTTGCCAATGAAACGTCTTTGATGCACCCATTTCGTTAGCGATATGAACCGTAAACCGTAAGTACTAAGCTGCACGGAGCGAGACGTTGTGCTGAAGCTCGTAAGTAATCGATTTGATGGCCTCCATTCAATATATGCACTTGAGCACATTGGCCCATTTCGATAACTACACAGGACTCGCCTTAGTGTGTCATGCGATAAATTCTTGCACTTACCGAACCCCGAATCCCCATCAATGTGGACCAAGTTAATACGTACAAAGTGAACGAGAGCGGGCGATCCGGAGGTCGGGAGACGGCTGAAGCAGCAAGTGAGATAACTTTAAGTTGCAGCCATAAAAAATTGCGAAAGTCACAAATGTTTTATGAAAGTTTCTCATTTTATTTAGCCTTTTATATTATATCAGCGCCCTGTGCATCGACTCGACACAACTCGGCAACTGCACAAGTTTTTAATAAAAGTTCTGTGTGCAGCTATTGCAATACCCCCCCCCCCCCCCCCCCCCCCCCCTCAAACCGATGCCAGTATCTAGCTATATATACCTCTAGCCACACTCCGCTTTTCTGTTCAGAAATTCATAACCGCATTTCTCTCGGCTCCTGGCAAACCGAGCAGCAGGCGCAGTTGTACATACCAATTACTTACATATCGACGATGTGGCTGAGACAATAACTGAGAGCATACCCCCCCCCCCCTTCCCCCCTAGACTATGCCCCACCCCGTGGCACAGCTGATGCCGCTTTGGCTTATAATAAGTTTTTGTCTCTGGCACACAATACGAGCAATTCGCACATAGAGAATTGAGCATCGCTTGCCAAGTTTCTTGCAGTTCGCTTCCTACAATCTATTTAATATATAATTCAGTTTTCCTCTTCGATTCGTAGACACTTTAAAATTTGGTTTTCTTTTATTAATGCTGGGCGAAATTGTCCGCGTTTTATTTGCTGTTTACGCGCTCCATTGATGTTTGCCCCTCCACCCGCTGTTTATGCGTGTACATCATTTTTTACGGCCCCTCATCAGCGCAAGGTTAGGAGCATTGAATTGCGCTGCTTAGTTAGTCCTTCATGGCACTTTGATTGCTCATTTGGCATTTATTTGACGACGCCAGGACAGCCAAGACACGCTGCCGCCTACGCTTCCGCCTCCGCCAGCCTTAAATTATTCATTGTGCGTGCCCCGTCCTGCCCCATCCGCGGCGCCTGCAGCATCTTCAATCTTATGCTGCTGCTGCTGCTGCTGCTGCCCACGTACAGGACTGCGTTGAGAGCGCTGCGAATTTTTAAAATATTCATGTCCTGCCGCTGGCATCGTTGGCCAAGAAACTCGCTGAAAACATCATCGGACCGGGCACTAACTAAATGTGCGTAATTTTTACCGACAGCGCATTGAAAATATCGCTCACAGCTATCAGACAGCAGCTGTACGTGAGTTTGCAACTTGTCCCGGGCCAGCGTCTCGCGGGGCAGAGAGTCTGAACTCGCATAATATTGGATTTGCTGGCTGGTTTAGCTAGGCAATATACACTGGAAGCCTGCTTATTCTGCTTTTTGGATGAACCAAAGTGGATGCGAATTGTGGCAAAGATATTGAAGCAGAAAGCAAGTTAGAGTATAGCCTATATTTTATCGATAAAAGTTCTCTTCTTCTTTATACTCTTATTTTGAAATACTTTATAAATATATATTTTAATATATGTCTTTATACCCTTTCATTTGCATTGCATTGCATTTTTTGAAGCATATTTAAATTGACTCGAAATTAGTTTGTCTTATTTTATAGAAATATACATACTAAGCACTAATGCCAATACTTTCTTCTTCTTATTCCAGCTTGATTTGCATTTGAATTTATTTTTGAATCCTTACGTTTCGATATATTCTCCTTGTTGTCAGTTTTGGTTCACTCTAATTCACGCATGCGACATCTCAGTGTGCTTGTGCTTTGACATTTCATCTAATTTGTATTTATTGTGCAACAACTTCTTTTTTTTTTTTCAAAATGTGCATAAAATTTACATCTTTTATTAGCGCCGGCCACTCCGAAGAAGAGCCAATAACAAAAGCCGCCCAGCTCCCGGACAATTCACACGTTCGCCCGCTGATTGTGGGTAATTTTTATTGATTGTTCGCATCTACGAACATGGCAGATACACGCAGAGCTATATGTTGTTATCCGTAGTATTATATATATGTTGGTATTGAGGTCAATTCGA